CCCTGAAGCCCTAAACCCGAAAATCCCGAAAAAAGGGATCATCTCTGCTCATATTCTTGGGGTTATAGGGCCAGGGCTTCTTAATCAGGTTCATACATGAAACCCCCTTTTGCCAAACCTGGAAAGCTCAAGGCCGCTAGTACCCCTCCTTTTGGGGTTTAGGGTTTAGGGGTTTAGGGTTTATGGAAGGCGAGATAGGGGTCTACCTCTTTTTTGCCTAGACGGCAACCTTTTCCCGACCCCACGCACTATTGGACTCAGGCTTCTCTATCGAGATTTGGCTTAAGATTGTTTCTTCTAGCCCGGGTTGTCGGATATCTATCCGGCAACTCCAAAACCTTTAATGAGTAATTAGGAAATATAAGGATTAGTAATTAGGAAATATAAGGATTCGCCCTGCAATTTCAGGTATATTCCTTGACGAAGGGGTTTTGGAGTCTCTTGGGTACTCTCGTCGGCCCCTCGGGGAGCTGAAATCGTTTCAGAAAACCAGCCAGGGAGCTGAAGCAAGCAAGTTCTTGGGTATGAACGATTGAAGTATTAGTCATAAGCCCTACAAGCCCTAGACCTACTTAGCACCAAAGGTTCTTGAGCTCTGGGCGCCGAATCGTAAGATCCGAAACCCTGCAAACAAAATCCGTTGAACAGCTCACACCCTCAAACCTTTCCTCTGCGAGGGGCCTGAATGCCTAGAATCGGGGATTGTGGGTGAAATTATGCTGTATTTGTAAATTCCGAAATATTAAAGCCGATGCCTCGCAAACCTTGCCGAAGTCGTTAATCTCGATCACATAGGCGGTGAAGCGCTGAGACAGCCGGCGGTTCTTCGTGCTTCTTCTGGACTGGGCCCCTTAATTACCTTGCAGACCGCATGAACCAGAATATAGTCGACAGCTCATTTCCCGAATAGGATGCTACAAAGTCGCCATACTGTATATACTGCTCAATAGTACTATGATGCACTACGAAGGGTGGTATGGTCCTTGAGGTTCTTCTCTATGCTCCGAGGAGAGGAAATCTCCAGGCTTCTCAGATGTTGGATTTAGTGAAACTGGTCAAACTTTGCCCATGACCAGAAGATAAGCTGCCGCAGCTCTGATTTGTTCAGGATGGACTGTGCCATTGCACTAGGCTAGGGTTTAGGTTGGGGTCTCGGGTTTATAAACCGTAAAGCCTGCACCCTAAACTGATCAGTGCTTGAGGCTGAAAGAGGGAGTAGCTGAGCAACAAGCTTAATATCTGAAGCGCATACAGTGAAGGCATAGCATTAAGTGGGAACCTGGACTACGTTCTCACTCCACATTCGGCCCCACTTTCCAGCGGTTTGGGATTTAGCTTACTGCTTACAGGTCGCTGTATGGGCTACGGCAAAGGTTCGCAAGAAAGGCACAGGAGCAGAACTGCACCTGCATCATGAGTGACATCTGCTCCTGACCCGCCAGAAGTGTGGGACTCTCCACAGAGGCTTCCGAAGTTGATTTTTCAGGGCTTAAGAACTCTAAACCCGAAACAATCGGTTTAGAGGTTAGGGTTTAGGGTTAGGATTTAGGGTTTAGGGTCTTTATAGAAGTCTGGGTTGAAGTTGTTCAGGGTATAGGGTTTCAGGCTTTTGCAGCCGAGAGTGTTGCCACTGGGGCCAGCTTGCCTCCAAGTCGGAAAGCGACAAACTCCGAGCATGACTAGGTCGCGGATGCGGTGGCTGTGAAGGTGCAGCAAAACCAAGCAACAATGTAGCTAACCATGAAGCCGACATTGCAGCAAGTCTATATCTACCATACATGCAGAATGTAGCTCCTACAAACTCCTGCATGCAGCAGACCTTCTATATCTCAAATATGCATCACCCAATCCTGAAATGAACGCAGACTGTGTAGATGCAACTGTCACAGCCATACTGAGAACACGGCCGTAGCTTGTGAGTGTATAAGTACATGATCCCTTCAAGACAAGTGCTCGTCTTTGTCGTCATCGTCGCAGTCGTACTAGACGTCGTTGCTGTCGTCGTCGTCGTAGTAGGTGGTGGTGGTGGTAGTAGTAGTAGTAGTAGTAGCAGCAGCAGCAGCAGCATTGGTGTTGTAGTTGTCGTGGTGGTGGTGGTATGGTGATACGAATGGTGGTTGCAGTGGTAGTGGCAGTGGTAGTAGTAGTCGTCGTAGTGGGCGCAATAGCCCTGCGTCAGTAGAAGCAGAGCAGCAAAAATACCGAATTGGAGTAGAAACGGTTGATGATATAAATCCTGCACTACCCATATTAAGGAATAAGCCCTAATTCCTATAGTTTAGAGTCCTTAATGTAATGCAGGATCTACATCTCCAACAGAAGGAATTCAAATCCCGGTTCTGAAAGCTTCGGGCTCCCCAGACCCAGCCCCTCGCGAAGAAGAACCCCTCGAAACACCCCTGTTTGGTCAGCCCCAAACCCTAAAACCTAAATCCTAAACCCTATACCCTAAACCCTAAACTAAACCCCCGAATTCCGAACCGTCTCCTCCGTCTTGGTGATTCGGATAGTTAAACTGGGCAGGTTGCAGGCATCAGGATCGGGTTTAGGGGCAGATTGTCAAACAATCATGCTTTAGGGTTTGGGGTTTAGGGGTTTAGAGATTAGGGGGGTTAGGATTGAATGGTTTAGGGTTTAGGGCTTGCGGTTTAGGGCTTTAGGGGTTTCGGGTTTAGGATTGAAGAACCCAATGAAGAGCACTGGCAAGGCTAGAGAATGTGGTAGACGGGTTTAGGGTTTAGGGTTTAGGGGTTTAGGGTTTAGGGTTTAAGGTTTAGGGTTTAGGGGTTTTAAGCAAGTTTAGGGTTTAGGGGTTTAGGGTTTAGGGTTTAGGGTTTGAACACACAGCTGCATTTTGGAAGCAGTGGGTGTAAGCCGAGCCTGCTTTACTTTTCAAGGTTTCCTACGGTTGATGCTAAAAATCCTGCGTTACCCATAATAAGGAATATTACCATGCTTCCCATAGTTTAGCGTCCGTAATGTAATGCAGGATTTATATCACCAACGCTAAGACGAAGATAGGCCTCAACAACTAGATCAGGGCTTTGGGCGGACAATGTACTGTAGAGTCCACAGGAACCCTCAGAATACGTTGAACTACTTTCTCCGACCCTTTCTTCATCGTTCGCAGTACGATACCGTAGGGTTCCTTCAAAAAGCTAAGAGCCCCCTCAAATCAAAACCTTATTCCAATAGTCTAATCAAGGTCCCTCTTTCTTTGAACCCTTGCAGATCCCTTAAATCACCTTGTGCTCCGGTGTTGAGGACTCTATAACCCTCAAGCCTAAACCGCCAAACCCCCAAAGCCCTAAATCACTAACCCCCCCCTTTACCCTAAAGCCTAAACCCCTCCACAAACGTCTTGCATAAACCACTTTTCCCTGAACTACTAAACCCTGCACCCTTAAAGGAACCCTTGAGCAAGAACACCTGGGGCATAAGGACCCGACCATGGTGCCACTGGCGCAGCCGAGAAGGTCGCATCGAAGTCGTCCATCATACTTCAGGGCTTAAGAGGGTTCCTTAAAGGGTTCTTCAAAGGGAGCTATAAAATACAGGGTTTGGGGTTTAAGGGTTTAGGGCTTTAGGGTTTTGGGGTTTCGGGCTTCGGGTTTGGAGGCATTTGGGTGGTTCAGAGCTGTGGGTGTGGTGGGAGACCAGTAGCGACACGTCTTGTTAAAGGGGGGGTAGCTCGGGAAGCAAGCTGCAAGAAGTTAGACAGATTTATGGACATGTTGGATGCAAGCAGGTATACTGTGCTGTTGATGGTGAAGAGATGAGGAAGAAGGTGATGCAGATGGTTGGGCAGATAGTGGTGATCGTGACCATGATGAATGTGATGGTACCGAGAACAAACGTTGCCCGTGACCAAGACAGTATGTTCTCCTCTTGTACCGTATTGATAGGGAACCCGGTGAAAAAAAACACTGGTAGTGCTTGGGTGATCTTTCTTCTGAGGCTGCTGCTGATACTGATGTCACTATCGCCAGCATTGATGACATTGGAGACAGCAGGGCCGACGGCTGCAACTACTTACTACTGTCGCCTAGCTAATCCTGTTCTCTTAAACTGGCATTTCACCCTGAACACTAGTTAAACCCTAAACTCTAAGCTCTAAACCCCAAACCCTAATTAAACCCTAAACCTCCGATACTCCAAAGGGGTAGAGGTACCAGTCATTGAAGCTTCCGAGCCCGAACATCAGAACCATGAACAGTTCAGGCTTCAGGGCTTGGCGTTTAGAAGATTTGAATCCGAAATCACCGCAGACTTGGTTCCGGTGTTTTTTGCTGCGTCCATGACCATCTGCGTCACAAACTTAAGCAGCACGCCGACAACAAAGGAAACGACGGTCACCCGGATTCTTTGCAGGGTGATGGTGAAGCCGAAGACGGAAAAAGTCATCTTTGTCTGGTTCTGGTGAAGCGCTCTGTAGACATCGTTGTCCCGAGTGGTTAGAGCCCATTCGAAGATTTGCTTGTTGAATCTTGCCAGGGACAGGACTTGCAGCCATAGGTATGCCATCGCCAAAGGTGCCCCAATTGACCAGACCAGCACGAACTGTGCAAACGGCCGCTCGAAATCCTGACCAGTTTTCGGAAGTGCAGGGGCACAAGGTCTCTTTGTTCGACATGCCTGTGAGTAGTTTTCGGAATTTAAGGTCCCGTTTTAGGTCTCCCGAATAGTACGCCCTAGCAAGGATCCTAACTTGGAGAACTACCCACATCATCGAATTCCGGCTTCAGGGCGGATCCTGGTTGGGCAGCAGCACGATGATGATTGTCATGACATACATCAGGGGCATCAGAGAATCGATGGCCACGTGCAATCGCAGAAAGCCGCGCCAGCGCCTCAAGCAACACAACCCAATGTAGGGGCCTCAATAATTTGAATACGGTTCTGGGCTCCCCTATAGTATAGTTATAAATGCGGAACCCCCAAAATGGTAGTGATGATTATTTTGGCCCCCTTTTTTTACCCCCCCCCCCTCAAATCCACACTGTGAGCTGCATTTTGAACCCTGAACTCTAAGTCCGAAGTTCCTCAGCCCTGAACCCCAAAATCAAATCCTAAACCCTAAAAGCCTGTATTCCTGAACCCTATGTCCTAAACCCTGTATTCCTAAACCCCAAATCCTAAACCCTGTATTCCTAAACCCTACGTCCTAAACCCTGTATTCCTACACCAAATGCCCTACAAACCCTAATTAAGTCCTAAACCCTATGTCCCATAAACCCTAAGTCTTAAACCCTATGTCCTGTAAACCCTAAGTCCTGAACCCTAAGTCCTAACCTTAAGTCCTAAACCAGGGCTTCAGGCGGCAGCGCCTTGCCGCGACTTCACGGAAACAATCCGAAGCCGAGGTGCGAAACCCTGTCCTACCAGGGTTTAGGGTTCGTGTCCTATTAATCATGGCAGTAACAAGAATAACAACACGAATACTAGTATATAATAGTAGACATAAAAGAGAGAAACTAATAATTCCAGCGACGACAACAACAACAACATGTAAATAGTAGTATAGATTCCGCACTCAACAGCCTGCGCCTGGAAAACCATGGCAGAAAGCGGTTATAGTCTCTAGCAGTTGAACATCGCGAGAATGCCATTGGATACTTCAGCGTTCTGCAAGGCAAAACACTGCCGAGGTTGAGTATCGGAGCGTGAATCATTAGCGTATCCTGTTATAGAACTTTCTACATTATTATACTTGAACATACCTCAACGCCGCGCTCTCATTATTAATGACTCTGCTTTAGGACAACTGCGTGAATGGCAGCAATTGCCCGCAGAGACCACTTACTGTAGGGGCCTTAATAATTCGACTAGGGCCTGGGCTCCGTTACAGTTTACTCACAATAAGGAACCCTAAGGAATAGTACGGGTCAGTATTCGCACCTAGACCCTAAACCCTTAAGCCCCTGAGCCCTCAAACCCAAACCCCAAACCGAACACTGCCAGGCGTTCGCCTCTCCACCCCAGCGATGACCTCCTTGAAGTCGAGAATTGAGTCCTCTGTGCCCTAAACCCACCAGCCCTAGCCTAAAGCCCTTAAGCCCTAAACCCTAAACCTTAACCCCCAAACCCCTAAACCCTATAAACCCTAAACCTTAAATCCTAGACCCCTAAATCCTAAACCCTAAACCCAAAACTTTAAATCCTAGACCCCGAAATCCTAAACCCTAAACCCTGAACCCTAAATCCTAAACCCTAAACCCTGAGCCCCAAAACCTGAGAAGCCTTCGACCAAGTCCTCCGTGCAAGTCTCGTGCCTGGACACTTGCTCCCGGGCGGAGCTGAGGTGCGCCTGACATGCTCCGGGTCTGCTTAGAGGATCATGGGACTTAGGAATTAGGGGTTTAGGGTTTAGGGGTGTGTAGGGAGAGGATCATGGGACTTAGTAATTAGGGTTATAAATAAGGTAACTATATAGATATATTTATATCTCCAATTAATAAAGTACTTATAACCTTACTTACTAAGTCCCATGATCCTCCAAGTGGTCTTTGAACTCTCAGGGTTCAGGCTTTTGGGCCTTCGTGACCAGATTGGGTTTAGGGTTTAGGGGTTGGGGGTTAGGGGCTTGGGTTTAGGGGTTGTAGGGTTTAGAAATGAAATGAAACAGGCTTAATTAACAGATTAGATCAGGGTTTGCAAGCGAGTGGCTCAGGATTTGGCAACGGCAAACCTACCTCCAACTTCAGACGACATCCCCTACCACCAGACGAACGCTAAGCCCAAACAACCCGTACTTAAACCCTAAACCCTAACTCTAAACCCCTAAACCCTAAACCCCTAAACCCTAAACCCCTAAACCCTAAAAAACCCTAAACCCTAAACCCAAACCCTAAACCCTAAACCCTACACCCCAAAGCCTGAAGATTGAGATCCGAACAGGTGCAACAGGCCAAACTCCTGGAAAGACTAAAGGAGGGGCCTTGGCAATTAGAATAGGGTTTTGGGGGTTCCTTTTTATAGCTATACGTAGTAGTAGAATATACCACCAAACCCTAATCTAACTATTACAGTAGGGCCCCTATGTTGATTAGAGCCTGAAGACCCTGAACCCTCAACCCTGAAAATTATGAGCCCAAGTTCCCAGACACCCGAAGCCCCATAGACCCCGAGCCTTAAACCCTGAAGCCCGAAACCCTGAACTTGAAAAAATAATCGCGATCCACTGTGGGTTTCGGCCCATCTCGGGTTGGACTAAGCTCGTTTGAGGGCTCCAAAGCACCGAAAATCCTAGGGTTTAGGGTTTAGGGTAAACCCTAAACCCTAAAGCCCTAAACCTTAAACCTACATCCCGAAGCCCGGCAACTCCTGGGGGCTTCTAGGGGCTTCTAGGGCTTAGGGTTTGGGGATTGAGGGTTTAGGGTTTTAGGGTTTGGGGGTTTCGGGTTCAGGGGTTTAGGGTTTTTTTAGGGTTGGGGGTTTAGGGCTTAGGGTTGAGGGGTTTAGGGGTTAAGGGTTTAGTGGCTGCAAAAGCTACCAGGTCTTCAGCTTCTTCAGCGCTACGTGCTCCAGCGGATATCAGGGTGTGCGAATGCATTTAGAAACGGAATTCTCCTTAAACCTCGAGTCCAAACGGAAAGCTAACCCTAGACTCTAAAATCGTACCCCCAAACCCTGAAACCCTAGGCCCCTAGACCCTAAACCCGAACCCTGAAGCTGATCGGACAAGAGTCGAGGTCAAACTGCATGAGCAAGATGGTAGCAAGGTGCGGCGGCACTCCGAAAGGAATGTGAACCACCCCATACCTCGGTTCCGCGCGGCCCTAACCCCCGAGTCGAATCCCTAGCCTAAACTCCTAAACCCCTAAGCCCTATAAACCCCTTCATCCCTGAACCCATGTTAGTCCGAACGCTGGCTTGAGACGTTGGCTTCCGGAAATGGGAGAACAAAGGTCCCCAAACCTCTGAAAGCTGAGGGGTGAAGACCCCAAAAAACTTACACCCCAAGACCCCAAACTGAAGGAACGAAACTAAACCCTACTCATAGGCTCCTTAGTAGTTCCTTTTGGGGATTACCTTATAGGATTCCCTGGACCTCTTGTCCCTGGCGCCAAAGCTACAAGACCCTAAACCCTAAACCCGAACCCCAAACCCGACTCCCTGCCCAAGCTGCAAAACCTGGGACACAAAGAGCATCGACTCGAATCCTGTGGAGGCCTTCACACGCGCGTAGAAGAGCCACTGTTCCAGCACCTGCAGGAACAGTTTTGGGGTTTAGGGTTTGGGGCTTTAGGTTAGGGCTTCCTTCAAAAACAATTTCAGAGTTTTTAGGGTTTAGGGCTTTAGGATTTAGGGTTAGGGCTTGAACAGCTTCCGTAGCTCGCGAGGTCAGACTTGGAGAGTTCTTTAATGCTTGAAGTATCTGAACTAAGGGTGTTTGGAGGATTGAAATTTGTGGATGTAGGGCCTGCGGTTTTCATGCAATGGGATGCAGGTTCTATGGATTGGCCCCATCTCGGGTCGAACCTAAGTGCCTGAATAGTTAGAATAGGGGCGTAATAATTACTGGTAGATATTCCGACCCCCTTACCACTACTACTATTATTGTTATTGTTATCATTATTATTAGTATTATTGCTTTCATTATTATTAATACTATTTCTATTACTTGCAGCTGAAGCACTGTCAAGACCAACACGATGAGCAACAGACACACAGCTGCAGTAACCCAGTAGCAGACCTCATGCAATCGAAGCATCACGCCGTCTCCTCGGATGCTTCCAGAGAGCCCAGTACCCCTTAAATCTTAAATAAGGAAATTCTAAGGCCCCTATAGTTTAAGGTCTATTCCGTACTTAAAGGATATTGGGCTCTCTGGGTTTGTGCTGCCATTAAGCAGAGTAGCGACATGACTCGGCGCACAGTTTAGGGTTCAGTGCTTAGGGTTTCCTAAACCCGAAGCCCTTTGAAGTCAGCTATAAGTTGGCAGCGCCGTAGATTTTCAAGCCGAAGACAAAGCCTAAACCCCAGGGCCATAACAAAAACGGTGTAGGGTTTTGGGTTGCTTTAAGGGCTCCTTCAAAGGATCCATAAGGGATCTGCAGAGGTTTGGGATGTAGGGTTTCAGGGTTCAGGGTTTAGGGTTTTGGGTTTAGGGTTTACAGCAACCCTACAAAACTCAAAGGCCACATGATCACTTGGAGAGGGCCCTAAAATGCCGTAAACATACCGACCACAAGGTTTCTTCAAGGGGCTCTGTACAGGGCGCTATGCCTGAAAGGAGCCGAAATTTAACGTTTAGGGGCTACAAGGGGTCTACAAATATGAAGCCTCACTATCACAACTCCTAAAAACAAGACGGTTCATGTGGCCACAAGCCATAAAAGCTGATCTCCAAGACTCTGGTCTCTTGGTGCTGTGCTGGGAGATCCTGTCTGTAGCGCTTGCACCGCGCATACACCTTCGAAGGTGACGTGGACCTACGTATCCTCCCATATAGGGTTTAGTTATGTTCATCCTCTGTTCGCAGGATGATCATCATGTTTCGCATGTTCATCTTCCCCAACATCCAAACATTCGTCATCACGCCGCCAACCCTAAACCCCAAACCGTCGCAAGGTGGATTCTTCGGGGCTAAGACCTCAATCCGCCCCCCCTCTCTCTGCCTATGGAAGTTGGGGGTGGCATCTCAGGACGGAGCTTCACCGATACTCAAAGTTTGCTGTCAAAATCTCTCCCAAGCAAGGTCCTTCCAAAGCCCAAGTAAAACGAATCAAGGGCCTTGGCTTTTCGACTGCTGCTTTCTTCTACCGCAAAAAAAGGCCACGTGAAACCCTTCCGGGAAGACCT